TCGGGGCCCAGTCGACCTTTTCGCCCGCTCGGCCACCGGCCATCCCTCTGGCCGTCAAATCCCCGTACCTGAGTACCTGGCTGAACGTCGGCAGTGACGGTGGCAATGGAGGGTACTTGGCGGGCCAATGGCCCGTCTTTTGGAGGTAAGTCTCAACAGAGAGCTGCTCCGAGCTCGCAATTCGCAGACCTTCGCCTGACGGACCATACAGCAATCAAATCACCGGCTGGGCTGGTTTGATCCGTGTCGATGGCCACGCCTACACCTGGATGGGCGCTCCCGGTCCCCAGGCTGTCAACCAGACGGCTTATGAGTATACCACGACCAAGAGCATCTTTACCTTCAACGTCGATGACCTGGTGGAGATGACGGTGACTTTTCTGTCTCCCATCACCCCCAACGACTTCAAGCGACAGTCATTGATCTTTTCGTACCTCAATGTCGACGTGAAGTCTCTGGACGGGAACACTCACGATGTCCAGCTGTACGCTGATATCTCTGCCGGTGAGATTCCCTAGAACTGGCAATCCAGGTCATGGTGACGGTCACACGTGCTCATCCTCCTGTCTAGAATGGATCTCCGGAGATCGTACAGCCATCGCGCAATGGGACTACGGTGTGACCGGTGACGTCGCCTATCACAAGGTGTACCGCCAGACGCAGTTGCTTTTTTCCGAGGTCTCCGACCAGGCTGAATGGGGATACTGGTATTGGTCCACGGATAACGGAGACGGCCTGACATATCAGTCCGGGCAGGATGTTGTGGTCCGCGGTCTCTTTGAAAGTAACGGGACTCTGGCCAATTCGAAGGACACCAATTACCGAGCCATTCAGGATAACTGGCCTGTCTTTGGCTTTGCACACGATCTCGGATCCGTGGGCAGCTCCACTGTTAGTCGACTCTTCTCCCTGGGTTTGACTCAGGAACAAGCAGTCCAATATGCCGGACCCAATGGAACTGTTGCAGTTCCCTCATTGTGGACCAGCTACTTCTCGAATGAACTCGACGCGGTACGTATATAGAGTAATCGCCTTGACGACGATTTTTTTTCTCCCCCTCTAACTAACACATAACTAGGTTGAGTTCTTCCATGGTGACTACGACAATGCCAACTCACTGTCATCAAGCCTGGATTCCAAGGTGGCCACAGACTCCACGCGGGCTGCCGGCCATAACTATCTGATTCTCACCTCTCTCTCAGCCCGTCAAGCATTCGGAGCGACCCAGCTCTGTGGCACTCCGGACCAGACGTATCTTTTTATGAAGGAAATATCGTCGGATGGGAACGTCAACACGGTCGATGTTATCTTCCCAGCTCACCCGGTGCTGCTGTACACCAACCCGACGCTGTTGAAGTTGCTGTTAGATCCGCTGTTTGAGATCCAGGAGAGCGGCCTGTACCCCAACCGCTGGGCGATGCATGATATTGGCAGCAGCTACCCCAACGCGACGGGTCACCCGACTGGGAATGATGAGCAGATGCCTCTGGAAGAATGTGGCAACATGATCATCATGACCTTGGCATATTTCATGGGCTCCAAGGATTTGGATTATCTAAATGCTCACTATAAGATCCTCAAACAATGGACCTCCTTCTTGGTGGATGAGGCGCTCTACCCTGCTAACCAGATCTCCACGGATGATTTTGCTGGTGCATTGGCGTAAGTAGCCCTTGTTGGTGCGTAGTCTTGTCTTTGCTAATCAAATTGAATGGAAATCAGCAACCAGACGAACCTCGCCCTGAAAGGCATGATCGGGATCGAAGCGATGTCTGTCATCGCTGGGTTGACCGGGAACCATGATGATTCTCAGAATTTCAGTTCTATCGCACACGACTACATTACGAAATGGCAAACACTGGGCATTGCCCATGACGCCAACCCTCCCCATAGCACATTAGCCTATGGCCAGAATGATACATGGGGTAGGCCCTGACACCCAGCCTGATTGTACTCGTGGAGTATGATTGACCTTGCCTCTTTTAGGGCTCTTGTACAATCTCTATGCGGACAAACAACTTGGTCTGAACCTTGTGCCTCAATCTGTCTACGACATGGAGAGCACATTCTATCCCACCGTCAACAACAAATATGGTGTTCCTCTCGATACTAGACACACGTACACCAAGGGTATGTATTTATTGACTGCGAATTTTGGCAGGAATATTATTTGCTAACATTGACATCTTTCGATGCAGCCGACTGGCAAAGCTTCAGCGCGGCCATTGCCTCGGAAGACACGCGGAACATGTTTTTCAACGACCTTGCAACGTGGATCAACACCACGCCAACGAACCGTCCGTTGACGGACCTTTATGACACGATTTCGGGAAAGTAAGTACATGCATTCTCCGTCTCGAAGCGATGTCGAACTCGGCTAACGCGTTGATTACTTCCTCAGTTATCCCAATATTGTGTTCGTCGCAAGGCCCGTCATGGGAGGGGCATTCGCTCTCCTGGCCCTGGGATTGGGATTGACGACCTAGGGCTGCGCTTTCAAGCTTGATATCATGGCATAATGATTATAGTTATGATTATTGTTCATGAGCAGTCAATAAAGCACATATTTATACCCACATTGTTATCGGCTGGTCCACCGAGCAATTGGATAGAAGGAATAGCGATTTTGCCACCTAGTTTGCGTAAAACATCTTCAGAACATAGCTTCTCCGCCTCTTTTGGATCAACCAAACTTCGACACAACACAAAGAGCTCCAGCAACCGAAATCTATCCAATTCTTGAATCTCGACTTTAACTCATTGCACAGATATGAACTACATGAATCACCACGCCTTCTCTTTCGGAACAGTTCTTCCAACCGTCGAGTAGACCAAGTTTCACATAATTAGATACCTAGTGCCAATTCATATCAGTAAACATACTAACGGAGCTACAGTTAGATGCTGAGAAAGTGAAGAACGTACCGCTATCTTCCTGATCTATCTTCTCACCATCCTTCAGCCACTGATCCCATCCGATACAGGTCTGCTCGACCGCCCCGACGCGCTGCCGGCCCAGCACGTCCAGTATCTCGCCTTGGCGTTCGAGCAACTGCAACGCCAGCCCGCTGCTGGCGTGCCAGGCGATGTGACAATGCAGCAGCCAGACGCCAGGGTTGTCGCTGCGGAACGCGACCGCCAGCCAGCCGTTGCTCGGCAGCAAGGCGACGTCCCGCCGGGGTGGATTGTGGTAGTTGAAAGTCAGCGGATCCGTGTCTTCGTTGTAGGGCTCGTCGCCCCGGCCCAAGATGGCAAAGTCGTGCCCGTGCATGTGGATCGGATGCGATACGTTGAAAAACTTGCGGGTACTGTTGTCAAGCCCGGGGACGGGTGGGAGTAATTCACCGTTGCCGGTGACAACGATGTAAACTAGTTTATGAGATTAGGACATAGACACTCATAGAGATAGAGAGAGAAACGACAGGCCTACCCCATTTATTGTCGTAATCGTACTTGTACACATCATATTCTGGGTCGAACGTCTTGTTGTCCAGCGACAGGAGCGTGGGGTCGGAGAAGTTGAGGCTGTATGCGCACACAGGCAGATACTGGCATTAGTTCCACCACACATTCAGACCAGAGGAATGTGACATGTTTCCCCTTACAACATCGGCTTCTCCCCGATCGTCCATCGCAGCACTCCGTCGCGCCCTATCTGCTGCCCGACCTCGTACGTGCTGTCGGTGACGTTGTTGGCCGGCGACGACCCGACCTCCCACCGGACGATGGGCTTCAGGCTCGCCAGCGGCTCGTCCTCGCACACGTACGAAATGCCCTGCTGGGTCGTTGTCGTCGGCAACGCCGTCGGCGCGCCCTCGTATCGCAGGATGCCCGTCAGGCCGGTCAGGGTGGTCTTATTCGACGAGCACGCCTGGACGGGAACAGTGCGGATCCAGTAGTTGTCGACTGTCTGGTTGGTCTCGATGATGACGGAGTAGCGTTGGCCTGGAGTAATTATCTCGTGTCAGTCAGATGTGCTTGCTAGTAAGGGATATGTATCTATTTGTATACATACCTATCGCTATCGAAAGCGAGTTCGTTACATACGGCTCGATGGGGACGAAATCCGTCTCGACCACCTTCAGTGCATGATTGTCGATGGAGAAGATAAAATGCATGTCGGCGCTGGTGACAAGGCATCGTAAGTGATTTGTATCGAAGTCAATGAATGGGTAACGAGACGAACCTGGTATTGATAAGCCTCAAGAGAATTCTCTTTCCAGAGGGCACGATCCTCGTAAAAATGGACCCGCCGCTGTTGAATTGCCCTATATTTGATTTGAAGAGACATGATTAGCGTATGCTTATCGGAAATGAGCGCGATATTCTCTCCTTCCATGTACTCACCCTGCCCACCGAGAAGCACACTATCCGACTCCGGTAAAGGTTTTGGGAACAGCTCGTGCACAAACTCCGTGAACGCGCTCTGATGGACCCAGTCCTCCATGAAGATGGGGTCCCAGGCGAGATCCCAGTTGGCGCTGTTAGGGCCGTGAATAAGGAGGGGTCCTGACCTCGAGATCAGCAACTTTTATCTTTATCTTACGTTGTGTGTTGAATGAGCTGCTGACTTACCGGCGACTCCGTTGGGGTATTGGAGCGAATAGTGGCTATGGTTATTCAGTTAGCGACTAAGTTAGAGAAGAGGGTAGAGGTGGAAATGGAGGTATTACCTGTGGTACCAGCTGTGGCCTGAAGAAGAGAAAGCAGGATTAGCTATGACATCCGACTCTAGGCTTGGAGAATTACAACATGCCATACTGCGTAGCCGTGAAACGGTAGGTAAAGGTTTGGTTTTGCGCAATTGGACATTGGGTAATTGCTGGAGCGGATTGTAAGCGAGTGCAACAAAAGATGATGATATATATGGTTATGAAGCTTTAATACCATTAACCCCATCGGCGTCGTTCGAGTGTAGTTGGCGAACGCCTATATAATGAGTTTAGCCATTGCCGGTCTTACTCTGGCTGGAGAAAGATGGATGACAAACATACCGTGCCAGTGTATTGTCGTTCCGTTGTCAGGGAGCTTGTTGGTGACGTGAATTACTGGAATACTGTCAGCTTGAGAATATCATCAATTTCTTATACGCTGAACATACCTAGCTCATCTCCCCAGCATGCCTCTTTATCTAGGTTAGCATACCAATGCAGCTGAGAAGATAACTCACCGACTCACCGATTAAGGGACCCGGGTAGCTGGATCATGTCAATATTATTCTGAACGTCTCACGAGCTTTAATCAGAATTCGTGTACTTACGTCTCGTTGAAAACCTGACCGGCTTTCGGAAACCCGTCGGGACTGATCGTATGCTCTGAGACTTCCAGCCAGTACTGTATGCTCGTCAGTGACGATTCCTATATTCGAGGCCACTCTCGAAGCAGACCTCTCTGGTAATTCCCGGCGGCCACAGGGCCTCATAATCCGTCTCGATATCGAACTGACTGAAGATGGGCTGCTTCGTCTGGGTGTCCCGCAGCCAACAGTTGCGCGAATCGGGCCCATTGCACAGCTCCCATCCGATCAGCGAAGGGTAGTGACAGACAAAGTTCTTGTCTGGCTGCTTGTACGAGATCTGCTCTGCGATCTCCGGCGGAATATACGGCCGGAATTGAACACCAGGTACGGGCACGTTCAGGTCCAAGGGGATCTGGCCGTTGTCGTTTCCCACAAAGGGAAAGACCTGGAAGAAGACAGTAGCGACGAAGGTGAATACTCCCATGCTGCTATTCTTATTTCCCTCACTCAAGTCAAAACATATATATAAAAAGAAGGACTTATTATGAGGAGTTCATGCAGTTCGGCTCTGCATAAACATCGGGAGGAGAAAAGGAAGAACCCTCTGGAGAGGGACTTGGTGGCTCAAATACGGGGGCCATCTGGAAGACCCAGCTGAACTGGGCCATCAAAATTGCAGGAGCTGTCGTGCTCAGCCACTATACGACATGGGGTTGACGACTGCCTATCGCAGGGAGGCAATGGGGCAATTGACTATAAGACTCATAGGGGAAAGCAGTTGCTAGTATGCTGCGAGTCTCACGCACACACGTTTTTTTTTTGACGCCACCTGCAACGGTTGCGACAATCAGGCAGCTGGGGAGTAAATTCAAGGCGAGCCATCAGTCACACCCAGTCGAGCATAGGCCGTCATCGATCATATAGAGAAAGTTCGGATCTGACCAACATTGTTCCGATGCGATGCGATGCGATGCGATGCGGCCATTGGGATGTATTGTCACATGTTCACAGGGATCATCCTGAGAGCTGGAATAATGTGACTGCATTATGCTCCTATACGAACTCCAGAGATTGGAAAGTCCAAGCCACTGGAAAGTCCTGTTCACCACTGAACTGGATGCTGCGAAGCTTCTGCCCGGGGCGATTAAGGCCGTCCAGTTGCAGATCCAGTCGCAGACCCGGATATGACATTCTCCGCCAAGGGTGCTGCAATTTCAGCTCCATCCGAGGACCTGATTTGAGGCTCTATTCGGAGTAATGGCTAAATCAGTGCACATGGCTTCGTAAGGCTGAGGCGCCAGGGTCCTGGCGACGTCATCATCGTCATCATCCATGTCCAACGGTGGAGTGCCCTACGCACGATACCTTGCAGAAAGTTAGCACTCTGACTTTTGATAATTGCAGAAGAAAACAAAAGAATAAGCGAAGTATTCTCAAGATTTGACAGCTATCATGCTTTACCGCAATTTGGTATACGCCACCGTGACAGCCAATTTGGAGAGACAGGGCGTGAACCATGAATAGTTCTTTTGTGTGAGTCAAGCCAAAGAGTTTGAAATAAGGATAGACGGTCAGAACCCACCGTTAGGCGTGCCATCACGCAAAGGTTGACCCGTCAACCACGCCGTCGGATATTAAGTTTGTATCCCTGTCGCCGAGTGGCTGCGATTACTGCATCAGCATAAGACCGAGGCCCAGGCCGGCCCGGATGCTGGTCTCATCTGGGTAGAACGGTGAGATTAGGAAGATGGCATGGAATGTTCAGCTGGGCAAAAGGGCGTCCAAGCATGACGGCAGCTTTCAGCCTGGAAGGCGCAGCTTACGATGGATGGTGATCGCCCGATATTCTGATTGGCGTGTCAAACGTATATGAAAGGATCGAGTTCTGCAAGGTGACAGCTTGACATATGGAAAGAAAGTCCCCGTTTGAAATCATATCCTATTATTATCCGAGCTAATGGCTGCTCTGTAACATAACTCGATCGATCGACTGATCACATCAGATGAAATGAACGCAAACGTGAACATATAATGTCATATCAGAGAACAACGGCCCATTACCGTTGCTCGATTAGCAGTGCAGCCTTCCAAACATGAATGGACGTGTCGTGCTGAAAAGCAAAGAAGAAAGAAAAGAAAAGAAAAGACAACAACATCCCCATGATCCGTCTTCATCCCGTCATTCCGTATTTCTTCTCCTCTCATTCGAGTTCGAAATCAACTAAGGAGTTTGAGTGGGCGTCAACGTCGATCTAGAATCCACACTGGGATGGATCCGCCGGGGTGTAAGTGGCCGTCACCCGTCCGAGCTGCTGAGCCAGACCACCCGTCAGCTGGTTCATGGCAGACAAGGCGATGTTGAAGCCATTGGGCGCGGCGTCGATGGCCGTCACGTAGATGGTGTTGTTCTCCCACGTCAGCGCGTAGCAGCTGCCGCAGTTGGGGCTGTCCCAGCCAGCGACTGTCGGGGAGCCGCCGACGAAGGGGAACTTGGGCAGCTGGCCGGCCGTTTTGTAGCCCTTTGTCTCGAGACCGTGCTGGCCGTTGGAACAGGCCACGGTCGAGAGATCCAGGTTGGCATTGTCGTAGCTGGTGTCGTAGGAAACGCTGACCTGGGTGGCCGAGTCGGCCGGGGAAGCAGGCGCGGCCAGGACTGCCAGAGGGGCGGCAAGGATCGAAGCAATGGCGGAGAGAGTGATGAACTTCATTTTGTTCCAATTTTCAAAAAGTGGATATGAGTTCTCTGGGGCTGGAAGATGGCGACAAGATTGGACGAAGTTCTGGTTGCGTGAAGTCAGGATCAATATCCAGACAAGATGCACATCAATCCAGAGAAACGCTTATTGGGAGCGTACTTGTCTCAAGTGATTTCAGATTGAAGACTGAGCAGCAAGGATGATTGACGACGGTTCATGTACTGGATGGGCAGGAGGAGACGTTTGCGAGGGGGATCTGGAGAATTTATACCACTCCTTTCTTCCCCATGTTTGCTTCGCCACCTACCAAAACTGGCATATACTCTACAGCCCTCCCACATGACATCGATCTCGCTACGAACAGACTCCAGACTCGACGAGTCAGTCAGTTTCACAGCCCCAGGAGAGGACCCAAACTCGCAGCAAAGCATATACATCTACTCAACTCGGCCCAATGCCGGGCACCCGGACGTTCTCTCTGCCATGCCCTATTTGGCGTGTTCCATGTGGACCTGGCATGGAGTGAGGTCGTAGCGACAGGTCCAGACTTCAGCCAGGAGAGCACGTTACACACAGTCGGCTGTCAGCAGGACCCTCATCGTAGCTTAAATGCGTTCGCATGCTATATATGGAGTACGCCTGTGAGTCAGGTTCGATCTATAAGGTGTGTTTTCCAGGATAGGATTGAGATAGACGGAGAAGTGTGGAGGCTGCAGTAGATTGGCCGCAGATATCTCAGCAGGCTGTGGAATTTGCCGATCATGCCACGGGTTGCTGCGGATGTATGGGAATTCCATGTGCAGGTATCCATATGGGGCAGTGCATTCTCGTCCTGGCTCTGTGGATCAGAAGCTGCCTGAGTGAGTTGTCCAAGATCTATTATTTTTATCGAGCCTGTCATATTTTGGGCTCTACAAAACCTATCCTATCAGTTTCTGCTATCTTAGTGAGATCTCGGCGTCTGTGCGTCTCCCATTGGTCGGTCGTTTGAAACATGGGACGATCACCTGTCTTATTCTTAGCAGCACTGCTAATTATTGCTCGCTCCGCATGACTGGAGTCGCGACTCTGGACACTCGGTGCGGAGTAGTCTGCAATAGTTGATAGAGAGTAGTGATGTGCGAGAACCTCGTATGGCAGTGTCTCACATCCCTTGGGAGGAAGAATGGCTGCCAAGACAGGGAGGTTCTTGGACCACGTACGGGCATATGGAATCCCGTCGCGTATGACAAAGATTCGGGAATGATACAGAAAAGCCGACGATACATTCTGAGATCGGGATACCGCATAAAATTGGAAATTCCTTTCTTTGCCCTGTCTATTATTGTCTCGAATGAGTTTCCTCCGTGATATTGACATATCCCTAGATACGGAGTACATCTTAATGTCTAACAGAATTAGCTAGAATTAGCTGCATATCTATGGCATTCCAGGTGATGTCGTAGCACGAAATTCTGTAACGGTGTCATTGAATTAGAGTTTGTGGCTTTCCCAAGTGGCATTCCTCAGGAATGCTCTAACAAGCTCTCGTGGAACCATAGATCCTATATGTCTGGCGTTGACTGCGATTTGAAGCTAGCATGAGGAGGAAAGAGAAAGGCAACCTATGTACTCTGTTTTGTTCGACAGTAATTATATTTAGTAATTATATTTAGCTACTCGTATGCAACATTCTCGATCTGTGGCGTTCTTAATAAGGCACTTCTTTATCTGAACGATCAACTTGCTCACCGCTTCCTGGACTTGAACACGCCTGTCAATCTGCATTGCCACGTTGATTCCATGGCGCAACCATATTGCAGAAGACGAACAAACATATAGCATAGTATAATGTCAAAATTAATACCGGTAAGGCTGGATATATCCTCTACAATCTATTTTTGATCAACTTGATATTAGCATTCGCTGCACGCAGACAAAAAGAAAAGATTTGACCGCAACTCTTATGATATAAATAACCAGCGCCACTGCTATGGATGGATAAGAGCGGAATTAATTCTATGGTCTTTTCATTCTCGTATTCAGGCATTTCAAGTCCCCTTCCTTAGCAGCATAATGATGGTATCGAGTCTAAGGTCATGTCTCAAATTGTTTTCCCCATAGATATCAGTTCGATTTTTGACACATTCTTGACGTAGGAACACCATTAATCATGTAATTCAGTGCAAGCATCTTATCTGCGCAATATTTGAGTTTAGGGCAAGATAGTCGAGATTCTTGCCTGGTCAAGTTGGCAAAAGTGATTATTTTACTCAAAGTCCGCATCATGCCGAAGTTGAGAACCTCCATCGGCATCACCCGCTTGCGCTCGCTGACATCGACATGGCGGAGCGGCTGGTAGTACCACGCGTGGCGTTCTTCGAAGCTGGACTTAGATCCTTCCATCGTTTTTCAGATGGAAAGGAGACTCCTTTTGTTTGGATATTGTTTGTGTAAGGAGTACGGGAGTGATGACCGTCTCCGGTTGACATAACTGAACAGACTCATCCACCAAAACTGCCCGACCAACCTTATCTTAGTGTGCAAGGAAAAGAGTACATGGCTGTCAGCTTCGATTGGCCTGGACTGTATGCCTGCATTTCAGCTCCTGTAAGGAAGCCCATCGGCGGTACCCTTCTGAGCCAATAACCTGTTTACTATCATAGACCAGACTCCATAAGGCCTCCCATTCTGATAATAACCAATTCTGATTCAATCTATAGTTTTATATAGGCCCGCATTATTCCGTTTTATTCTGCTATTATTCTCAACAAACTGCAGACTTATGGTATTGCACACCGATAGAAACTGTGTATATGCAGAAAAATATAGCTCCGTAGATCCGGGCTATAACAGAGTTCGATGCAAGACACAAGGTCAATGAAAACGTAATATAAAGATCACGATACCAACGATATGTTGTTTCCATGCTATAATTCTTTAACTTAGGGAGTGATGGAGATCCTCAGTTAGGTTAAGTAGAGAAACCCGTGGAGCAACAGCACCGAGAATGATCCGCGCAGATATGTCGGGGTCTTATTCAGCCCTAAACACAAATGATCTACGTAGGCGATTTCTGGGAGAGATCTATATATATTTCCCGCATATCCTGTAACCAACCATCTAGCTCTAAGTCATGATCCTAGATGGCATTAAAAAAAATCCATCCTATACCGCATCAACTTGGCAGTTCTGGTATGAGAATAATAATTCTGTCACTGATCGATATAGAATTGCTCTTTGCTTCGACGATTTTTACCATTCAACTTCTTGTCTCTACTGCTGATTTGCCGGAAACTACCTCGTCAACATGATCTTACCTTTGCAAAGTACGTAATGCTCTTACAGCAGCGAAGGTCGTTCTAGACCCTACCAGCTGAAAAACATTACCTAGTTGTTTGATCGGACCTAACGGCATGCACAAAGACAGTAGAGTCGTATCGCATGTGCACAAGACAAGCAGTAGTAAAACGTGACTCGGGAACTCTAGAATTATTTATTCGTACACCAGCACTCTCCATGCCGGACTCTTCAGAGAACCTGATCACCGGTAAGCCCAGTCTAAATAATTCCAAGCAATAAAATTAGACGTACCTTGCGAATCCCTTATCGTGACGAATAAATTTCTACTTTTGTTCAGTCATTAATTTGGTTTCATTTCACATTTTTTTTCTCAATTGGAAACTGACCAGTCCACCTGTGTCAAAATGTCCTGGCACTGACTGTTTTTTTTTACCGGACAACAACGAACCAGTCTGCTTCTTAATCCAGGAAAGATAATATACTTATACCCATTCACTTCCCTGTCTTGAGTAACGATTCTTTTCCCCTGCCGGGAACAATTGATATGCGCTCCGAATCGACGTCGTATACATTTGCGCCATGTATGATATATCACGCTATGGTTTATCTATGTATACAAGAGAGAGTGACCTATCGTCGACTGTGTTTTGAGCGTGAGCGTGGACCCTTGTGTAACAGGAATACTGTAAATAAACGCTTAACAAATCCCGCCAACCCTAGGTCGGACTCGGCGTCGGAGTCGGAGATCGTCGTGTGAAATCGAACAGGGCAGTTTCTTTACTAACGTCAACAGATGCAATAGATCGGTCTAGTCGATCGTTTACCTAGCACAGGTATACTACTGACTCCTCTACTCCGGACGGAGTAAATGTACTCCGTACTGCACAGCATACTACACCTGCACACCGCCTGTTACTAATACTCTCTAGCAAGACAAGAGAAAATACCGAATAATGAAGTATCGATCAGGGCTCTCTGCCGAGTTCCGGACTTTGTACTTACTCCGTAGCTTGCAGAGTGATTTTATCCGGCCAAGTCGTTAGCAACTGCGAACTAACTACAGCAGTTGCAACATGATTCGACATCTCTGCCTTGGAATCCACTCCATTTTTAATTTGCCGGTCTGTACGGAGCAACAATATGTGGTTATTGTTTTTCCCCGCACTTTTTTAGTCATGCCCTAATTACTCCGGAGGAATACGATCCATGTACTCCATGCCCCCATGCGGAGACGCGTGCCAAATACAGCAAGTGTACTTCCAATCGGCTTTGAGAACTGGACTTCCGTATATACTACTATACCTCGCAAGCATAACACCATGAGTGGATATACTGACCAACTAGAACCAAACAATGTATTAAATCTGCAGCTCCATGGTCTCGTGCATGAGTATATATACATACGCAGTACTCCCCGCTGGTGCGGGGGCTTTTTTTTTCTGCCCTCCCAACAGCTAGCAAGCTAGCCAGCGAGACTACTCGAGAAGAAAAGAAATTACCATGCGCCTGCTGACGTCCGTTTTCTGCATCTCTGCTGCGCTCTACGCAGAGGTCGCCTCTGCGCAGTCGCCTGTTGCCTGGGGCTTGCGCCGCTTCACCAGCCTGGTCACCTTTGGCAACAGCTACACCGACGAATCGCGGTTCGGCTACTTTGCCAGTCACAACGGTTCTGCGCCGCCAGTGGGATGGGTTGATCCGGAGGTAAGTTCTGAGCTTGTGAACAGGCAATAATGCAGAGAGAAACTGACATGCTGTTCCAGAACAACAACACCGCGTCGGGCGGCTACACCTGGGCGCGCTACGTCGCCAACTCCACCGGGGCCAACCTCTACGACTACGCCGTCAGCGGCGCCGTATGCTCCAACTACGTCACGCCGCGGACCGCCGCGGCCATTAACGCGGACTATCCGTCTGTGCTGGAGTACGAGGTGCCGGCCTACATCGCCGACAGCCACTACATCACCCCCAACGGGACCAAATTCCTCAACATCCCGCCCGAGGAGACCGTCTACTCGATCTGGATCGGCACCAACGACCTCGGCGAGGCTGCCTTCCTGACAGACTCCCAGGTCGCCGGCAAGACGATCCCGGACTACATCGAGTGCGTGTACAGCGCCCTCGACCGCGTGTACGCCAACGGCGCGCGGTACTTTGTGCTCATGAACATCGCCCCCTTGCAGCTGACACCGCTGTATGCCACCCCCGAGAACGGCGGCGTGCCCGCCAGCTACTCCTGGCCTGGGAAACCCAGCAACCTGACAGAGGTCAGCTATCGGATGTGGGAGCAGGTGGTGCTGGTGAACGACGTGTACAAGTACCAGACACCGTACGAGCTGTTGGTTGCGAAGCGGTATCCAGGAGCGCACTTTGCCATCTTCGACACGTACAGCCTGGTAAGTTGACAGACTTGCGAGATTAACATCAATTCTGGTCGAAGAGAGCCAATACACTGACATGGTTTGCAGATTTTCGACATCTACTACCACCCTGACGAATACCTGGCCCCTCCGGCCAACGTTACCGGGTATATCAACCACTGCGACAGCACGGGCAACAACTGCCAGAGAGAGCCGAATGAGGATTCGTTCCTCTGGTTTGACCCGCTGCACCCTTCGGAACGGACGGACCAGATCATCGCGAAGAATTTCGTCGACGTCGTCAAGGGGGTCAGCAAGTACGCGACGTACTGGGGGTGAGCCAGAAGGCAAGGAATATCGCACATGAATGACTGAGGATATATAATTTGATATAGCATAATGCGATGTGCATGCATAGAGGCGCAAAGCAGAATACCTATTTAATATTGACTAATAATAGGAATTCAGAGTCTGTCAATCCAGAGAAGTATTTTTTTTTCAGCGAAGACTTCTCTCGTAGCAATTTTTTATTACATTACTACCATTACTACCACTTCCAATGTATTGTACACATTAGCATAACACAGGTCTATCCCGCCTTGCAGGCAAGGAAGAGTCGTCAAGCTCTTGAAGAAAAAGATCTTTGGACATATCCCAGAGCTCCGCTCAGAGGAATCCGAGATGAGAACACGGATGCCCGCCCGCTCTCATTATCTTATCGTATCGACAAACGAGGGAAAGTCGTGTCCCGCACATGGACAGAGTTAACCCGAACTCGATGCCGAAAAAAAAAAAAACTCTGGCAAGCCAGCTCGTCTAGTCGCCGTCTATCACATCACCTGATATCATGTCTATTCATTACAGAATTACAGACCCGCTGACTGACGCCATGAATCGTACCCGACCAGCTCGAGGAGATAGCGTTCGCAATGCTCGAAATGCCTCCGCCCGTATTTCTGGAGAAAGTGTCTTGCCTGGTCGTACACCTGAGGAGCAGTTTCGGCGCAGACCTTGACGAGACTGTCCGCCGTGATCAGGATTCGGTCCTGACCGGCGTCGGAGGCGAATCTCGCGCTCAGAGTCGGGTTCTGCAGAAGCAGCCATTCGCAGAAGTGCTCGAAGAGATCGTTGTCGACGAGGAACTGGATTATCGTGGAGAGGGACTCGGTGTTATTGTTCTTGTTATTATTATTCTTATTAATGGGTTTCACGTTGAGGATCGGCTCTGGCAAGGTGTGGTTCGCGAGCGCCTCCAGCACAGACACCACATACGCCAATTCTTCCGTCAGAGACTGGGGTCTCGACGACCGCAGAGTCGTCATGATCTGCCGGTCGTAGCCGAGCTTCAGCCGCCAGTAGAAGTTGCAAAACACGGACGCCAAAATGCACGGTATCAACACCACGTATCCATACCACATCGTCGCCGTGACCATGGACGCCGCACCGGCCACTAATCCCGTGACGGCCGTGGCCATCGCGTGCCATCGAAACCGGCGCAGCCGCAGATACAGGCGCTGTCGAAAAGGGGCGGTGTCGGGAGTGGCAGCGACGGCGGAGGCGTGTCTGCAAAAGCGAACCCAGAGATACACGGACCAGACGGCATTGACGAGGCCGTAGAAGGCGGCGGGCGCATTGCCAATGTACCCCGAGAGAAGATTGCTCGCACGAAACACCGTGTCATTGGCGCCACCGATGGCCAGCAAAGTGCCGATTCCGACGATGACGCCGCCCGCTCCCAGAAAACCGTCCATCACGACCCGATCGACCAGTTCGGAGCCGATTTCTCTGACGTTCACGCCCAGGCGGCCATCCAAGTATCGAGCAAGATCCTTATTCCGCGCGTGCTGTGCCCTGAGCTGGTCGAGATACTTCCGTTCTTCCCACAGCAGCCGCATGTTGGACCAGCTCAGCTGGAAATCACGCACCGCGACCAGCGACGTCAACAGAGTCAGAGAGCCACCGACAGCCATCAGCGCGACCACGAAGCGAGGGATAGGGACGACATTCCAGACATTGGCGGAGAAGTCCAGCGCGTTGGCCAGCTCCAGGAAGCCGACGCCGATAAGGAGGTTGTTGCGTAATTGCTGTCGCTGCGGGAGTCGATATTGACCGCCTCGTTTCGTCCTAACCAGCGTGACGGGCTCCGGGGACAGGCTGCATCCGACCAGGGTCAGGTCGCTGTCCTCCCGCGAGGTATTCGGGATGGTGGACGGGAGGTCCAGACACGACAACTCGGTGTCCGTCATCTTTCCTCTGGCCGGGCCGGAGTCTGGCGCGAGCTCAATGCAGACGATCCACAGCCGTTGCCAGGAGACGTCGCTGCATAGGCTAGATCCGGACGAGGTTCGACGAGGGCAGCATGGCAGGGACTTGACTGACGGACGTGCTTTGGCTCGAATGGGCGGTCGAGAGACGAGTGTTGGGACTTCTGTTCGTGCGCGGAAAACAAATCCTGCCGGTCCGCCGCGGCCCCGGAGCCAGTCACGTGGGCCCGGGAGCCCCGCCGGCTAAAAATAGCACAGGCACGCCTCCGGGCCAATCAGAAGCCTCACGTGGGCCGGTTGCTTGCTGCAGCAAAACAAAGCAGCAGCGACAACGCTCCAACAAGATAGAAGAGTCACAGTCAAGCATTCTTCAGATGGCCTATTCTCAACCGCAGATCGGCTCATACAGAGGCCATGAGACAGATACCCAAAGAGCGCTGCAGATTGCCGCTGCGTGCCGCTCATAGGACATCAAGAAGCGGGGAATGAGCTAGTGAGCTGACCTAGGCAGCACATTAATCGAATATACTCTTAGCATATATTACCATTGCCAGATGTATCCTTATTTATTCCTCATCTTCAATATCCCGGGCTGAAAAGGACGAAATTCAAGTTGGAGAAAAAAAATGACAGTCCACATTCCCGACGGTTTCCTCCCCCCAGAGCCACCGCCAAATGCCTATCTCCAGAGGATCGATTTCATGACCACCGATCCTCCCATGCCAGAATACAACAACATGTTTGCCGCCGTCGTGCACAACCTCCTGACGGAGTCGGAATGCCAGGAGCTGCTGCGCCTGGCTGAGGCCAGCACCCTCACCTCGGACAACCAAACGCCAACCTGGGAGCGCGCCATGATCAATGCCGGCGGCGGACGGCAGATCCTGGCGGTCGACAGTCGCAACTGCGGAAGGATCATCTTCGACTCGCCGGAGCTGGCGCAGAGGCTGCTGTACCGCCTGATGCCGTTTTTCCGCGAGAGCGGCATCGACCGGCTGGAGAAGCGACCCCTTGTAACGGGGCTGGGCCCTGCAAGAAGGGGGGAAGTTCTCCAGCTCTCGCGGCTCAATGAGCGGCTTCGGTTTCTCAGGTACGAGGGCGGAGAGTACTTCCGCCCGCACTGGGACGGGATGTACGAGACGGACGACGGCCTGGAGCGGTCGTACTTCACGGTCCATCTCTATCTGAACGGGGAGGGCGAGCAGGACCTCGAGGAGCTGAAGAAGGCGTATGAGGAGAAGAAGAAAAATGGCACCGTCGATCGAGGCTCTCCCGATGCAAAACTTCTCGGCGGCGCAACGTCGTTTGTCGATACTGACAAGGACGACAGGGCAGTGCGCGTCTTCCCCAAGACGGGGTCGGTGCTTGTGTTCCAGCAGAATCATCTTGCGCATGGAGGGGACGACGTCTTTCGGGGGGTGAAGTACACCATGAGGACGGATGTGATGTATCGGCAAGTGAAGAATTAGCACATGCCCCAAGAAGGCAGTGCCGGAGCGGGCCAACACCATGATATGATGTTTATCATATGAGTTATGATATGCAGGGTTTGAGTCTTGATTCTATGATGTTGAAAAGAGGACTTCCATGCGACATGGAGATAAATCGACTGAGCCACGCAAGAAAGATGTGTGGCATGAGTATATTCGAAAGAGTGCTGAAATGTTCACGGGCTTTAGATTTAAACCTGAATTGGACATCGGCCTGTCAGTCAAATAGAGCACGATTCTACTCCGAGTTGATGGAATAGAGCGTTTCAAATGCTCTCTTCCATCCTCAGGTCGAACCAGGAAACAGAAACACGGAGACCATGTCGACGCTGACTAGTTGACTACAGGTGTAGCTGCCGTTCGAGGAGAAACAGCAGAAGGGAAAAAGAAAAGGACGAATCCAGCCGTCTGAGGGTATATTAGCTGGTTTTTTCTTAAGTCGACATACTTGAGTAATGTGTTTGAGAGCCAGATATATCTCCCAGGAAATAAATACCTTCTCATCAAGACGCGAGCGAAAAATAATAAACGTAAAATAATTCTCGCGTATTATATAAAAGTCGATCTGCATCAAGAGAGAATATGTACATACAGACATCCAATCATAGGTAAGTCAATCCAAAGGCCTCAGCACCAAAGCTGTTGTCAAAGGCAGCAAATATCGAATATATATTGCTTTTGTCTGACCTGACTTTATAGTCAAAATAAATGGGTCAATCTCAACTATATACAGCCTGCACTGCTCAACAGGTTTAACCCGGAGCAGAAGTTGCAGGCAGACAAGAAGAAAAGAGAAACCAAAAAAGGATACTTTTTTTTTTCGGAGAGGAAGTAATCCAAGAAAGGCGCCGGACAGGACGTAAGTCGTCTCGACACGTCCTACCTGTCGTCCGCTCAATACACATAGCGGAAGCTCTTGTTCTCCTTGTCGGTCAGACCCGCCCAGGCCGTCTCGTTGGACGCGTCGTCGTACATCTCGCCGCTGACGGCCTTGCGCGCGTCCCGCCGCTTGTTCTCCCACACATAGTAGACGAACAGCGCCACGGCGACGCCCGCGGCGGCCGCCTGCGTCGCGAGCACGGCAATCTTGGCGGGCCGGTACTCGGGCGCGTCCTTTGGCCTGGAACGTCTGCGGGCCGATGATGTTGCCGACCGAGAACGAGCCCGCGACGAGGGCGCTGGCGAACGCGCGCTTCGTGTACCCGGCGCAGTTGGCCGCCGTACCAGTGGTAGGATGATGGGCAGCGGCGCGACGATGGCGTTGACCAGGTACACGCCGATCAGCAGACCGGCCTTGTTGCTGTTGGGCAGGAACGACATCAGCCCGCCGCCGATGATGCCCGGGATGCTGCAGAAGAAGACCCAGGCCCACCGATGGGAAGACCGCCGGATGCCGAAACCGACCAGCAGGGTGAAGAAGATGCTCACGATGCCGGACGGCATGTTCAGGAGGGCGGCGTGCTGGGAGCTGAAGCCGAGGTTCTTGATCAGGGTGGAGGAGTAGGTCGTGACGACACCGCTGGAGACGGAATCCTAGGCCGGTCAGCATCAGCAGAGAGTCGATGTCGGGTGATTATCAACATACCAGAACCACCATCAAGGTCAACAGCCACACTTGGACGTCAAGGAGGGCTTCAATCACCTGCCTGGGTTGGAACTTCTGGTTCCAGACACCCGTCTTGTTGGAGCTGATGTGCTTCAGCAGCGCGACCTTTTCCGCGTCCGACATGAAGCTCGCCTTCATCGGGGTGTCGGGCAGGCCGAAAAAGGTGGCGACCCCGATGATGGTGGTCACGATGCCCAGGACGATGAACATGACGCGCCATCCGGACAGAGGGGCGTGCGGACTGATGTGCTGGAATGCGAACGAGACCAGACCTCCGACGATCTGGCCGACGCCCAGACCGCAATACCACAGGCAAAACCGCGGGGCCTGTTCTTCCTTGGTATAGTACTGGCTGGAGATGATCATGAGCGAGGGCCCGATGGTCGCCTCGAAGAGGCCCAGGAAGACACGCGCGATGACCAGGCCGGTGTAGTCCTTGACGCCGCTGGTGGCCGCAACGACGACCCCCCACAGGGCGACGTTGACACCCAGCCACTTGGCTGCGGGCACTTTCTGCAGGAGCCAGGCTGTCGTCTGGTTAGATCATGGCCGCCTCGACGACCGAAGTAGACGGAGCGTGCTTACTGTTGGGAGCTTCTGCCACCAGATAGGCGATGAAAAAAGAGGTGGCGGCATTGCTGAAGTCGTTGCCCTTCAGCTTGAGGTCGGTGCTGATGCCCATGACGGCGGCGTACTAGGCAGGCGTTAGCGCGGGGTTGGGCATTCGAGTGACAGAGGGAGCGCAGACATTGATGATGACTTTGTCGATGAACTGCAGTGTGTAACAGCAGAACATCAAGGGCACGATGTGCCAGTCGATCTTGCGGCGCAGGGCGGGCAGGTTGATGTGCTCCGCATTCTGGACGTCGGCGTGGCTCTGGAGGAAATCCCAGGCCTCGTCCTTCCTCTCGAAGGGCACCTGCTGGGACAGCACGGCCATCTCCTTATCGTCCTGCCTGCTGGCCATGGTGGTGAGCGTTCGGGGATTACCGGCCACTCGTGCGCAAATCGGGGAGCGAGATGGACTAGAGAGCGCGAGACGTCGTACAAGTCATACAGTCGCAAAACAGGGCGCGAGCGAGAGACTCGAAGACAAAACGAAGGAAAGGAACGAAACGAAAAGCGAAAAAGAAGGAAAAAAAAAGACACAGGACGAAGCGAAATGGGCGAAGTGGCAACGGCAAAGGAGGGACCGCAGGTCTAGACAGTACTTGAGACGACAATAAAAACAAAGATCAAGCCATAACGGCGTGTTTGTGCTCGAGGCTGCTGGCCAGACCGGACGACAAGAAGCGACGGAAGTCGGCAGGCGGCGGGTGCAACTGCGGCTGCTCGCTTACGCCGCCAAGGCAGTGGACGAGGCATCAGCCTGCATGCACCAGGCGGGGAATTGCGAATGCAGCGCGATTAGGTTTATCGGTGGAGGCTGGCTGCGCGCGATGTTACGGAATGCCCTGGACGACGCTGGTCCAGCAGCCTCGCAGGGGCCACCAGACTTGGCGACGCTGCAGGATGAAGCGATTCGGCCGGCCAGCTGCAGGGACTAGAGGCGGAGGGCGCACAGAGGACGATATATACACAAGTCGCACACGCTGCCCGTACATTAAAGCCGAGTCCTCCTCCGTCCAGCTCAGCATGCGAGGCTGTTGCTGTCATTCCGTCCCGCGCTGCTAAACCATCACCACCACCATGGGCTGGGTGAAACACGTCTCGCCCGAGGTGGCGGCCCAGTCCCAGTATCCGACCATCATCGCCGTCTGCGTCGTGCTGACGCTGCTGATGATGGCGACCGTCATCACTCGCGTCGTGATCCGCTATCGACAGCGGCGGACGGGCGCCGATGACTACGTCGTCATCTTTGGAATGGCAAGTTGCTCGCCGTACTTACTGACGGCACGATTAAGACTGACTGGGGCAGCAGATTTTCAGCATCATCTACAGTGTCCTGTGCATCGTCCGTACGTTATATCCTCCAGTCGAGAGGGAATCCAGCTGCTAACGAGACGACCAGAAACACGATATGGCCTGGGACTACCGCCCGCCTTGCGGCCTAAGGCGAGTCTAGACACCTACACCAAGGTCAGCACGAAAAGCCCTCCTCCCGTCGACGCAAGACGGCGTCTGATGTCGTGCACAGGTCAACTTCGCCGGCAGGCCGTTCTACCAGCTGGGCATTGCAGGCTTCAAGGCGGCGCTCTGCATCAGCTGCTACCGCCTGCTGTCCGGCACGACCAAGGCTTGGTACAAGGCCACCATCTGGGTCGTGGGAATCGTCTCGACCGTGGGCCACATCGCCGGCACCCTGGTTCTCATCCTGAGCTGCAGCCCCGTCCGCAAGTCGTGGGACCCGTATGTCCCGGGGACGTGTCTGCCCCCCGGGCCGACCTTCTACGGGCTGGCGGCCTTCACCATCTTCTGCGACGTCGTCATCATCCTCATGCCCATTCCCATGCTGCTGGGGCTGCACGTGCGTCCGGCGCAGAAGGCCGGCGTCGTCTGCCTGTTCCTGCTGGGCCTGTTCACGACCGTCTGCTCGATCCTGCGCATGAGCCAGATCGCCGTCATTGAACGCAACGGCGATTCGACCATGCTGGTGCTGTGGGGCACGATCGAGTTCAATGTGGGGGTGAGTTAGTTTCGTTTCCAGGGACAAGGTGAACAGGACACTGATTTCGCCCCAGAACATCGTCACTTCGCTGCCGTTCCTCGCGCCCATGCTGAAGCGTTGGATCAGCGATTTTGGCTACCAGATCGGCTACATGAAGTCGGGGATGCGGACGACCGAACGCTATGCGCTGCACTCCCTCTCCAAGGCCAGCGTCAAGTCGAGCACGATGCGGTCTAACGTGACGAGCAGCCATCCCGACCCTCACCACCTGCACCCGCACCGCGGCGTGACCAAGGTCAGCCGGTCGCCGAGCCAGGAGCACATCCTGAAGAGCAACAATGGCAGCAACGTGGGCGGCATCACGCGGACGATGGAGTACCACGTCACGGTGGACGACGAGGGCGAGGTGGCGAAAGAGCAGCAGCGGCTGTGACGATGTTACGGATTAGTGCATACCTACATCTACACCGATTCTATGCTTGCATGGTCGATTTCGGTTGTACTATATGGATAAAAGTTGGACGGACGGACGGACGGATGTGTACATATAGATGGACGGGGTGGTTCTGGGATGGCTTGGGATGGCGTCTGATTGGATCTCTCGTTAGCTTCGTTTTGTTTTTTGTTTTTGCTCTCTTTTGCTCCTTTTTTTTTCTTTTCTTCTTTTTTTTTTCTCCCACGCTACGGGGAAAAAACGAGTTAGAATTCACCGCACTGCAGGCCTGTGCTCTGTGCAATCCCACGTAATCCTCGTCCAACGAGTCTAGTCCAAATAGACTACACTTAGCAGCCCTTAGCGGAGCTCGGGGATCCGTCGATCGCAGCCTCAGCAACCACCGGGCGACTGTCGATCCCTTTGACTTTGCGCCGAACTCAAGCTGTTTTGTCCTGGCCAATGATTGGCTCAATCATCGCGTGGCTGCTCCGGCCAAGCTTCTCCGCCAAATCCTACCTGCCTAACATGGCATCTTCCCCCGGCTTGCGTCTCTCGTCATCCTCTTCCGTCTGCGTCTCTGAGTTTATGCTGCACTGAGAAGCGCAAAGAACAAAGTTCACCAACTACAGATACTCCGTACCGACAATTAATTAATTCAAATCAATTCTGATGTCCTACGTCACACGTCGGACGTGCAACCGTGGGGGTGCCCTGGCAGGTCGCCAATTCCAGCGCTGCTTCGTACTCCGTCACGGCAGTCTGTCCTCCAGACGAATTATTACTCTGTGCGAGCATCGCGATCTCCAGCCCATGTGGTGCTCCGGATCGCCTTCTGGTCGAGTCTGGCCCTAGCCAGGCACCTCCCTGATCTGTCTACGGCATTCCTTAGCCTGACGCATGGAGCAGATGCAGGCTCCTGAGTGGCGTCTGTGCGATTGATATTAGATCAGCAGCTAATCGCAATGGGGGAATGTCGCTCCTGACCTCAGGTACCGAGGCTCGCTACCTGCCTTTCGTGGTCGACCTGAGGCATTTTCACCAGAACAGGACCCGTCCACCGCGTGGGGGCGGAATTGCTATACCACTCCTGGCGATAGTTGGTGCGTTATTTCAGTCCGGCGACCGGCAGGAAATAAACTCATTCTTCGACAGATGGTTCTAGTAATTAATCGACATGTCGCACATAACGTATGGAGCATGGAGTATGCAGGTACACGCATGACAGAGGCTAGAGCAGATGGTTTTCGTCAGTTACACCCGCTACCCCGTACTCCTAACCGGATTCTCTCTAGAAACACCCGTCGGCACTTGTCTTTTCCATCTATCAGTATCGTCCAATCCTTCTATCTATGTTCTATGCCTCGACGTTAACGATAACACTGAGAACATGTCGCTTGCCGAATAGACTCGTCTAGCTCTCCTGTCTCACCCGCTTCGAGATCAGAGGGCTCTCCTCCGTAATCCGGGGAAAGTCGTGCGCGTCCAGACACGCCTGTCGCGCGCTCACCACGCACGGCTGTCCTCGCACAAATACGTCCTGGTCGTACGCTTCCAGTGCCCGCTCCATCGCCGCCCAGTCCTCCTTATCCGACGGTTGTTGGATCAGGTGGCCAACTCGCTTGACAAAGTCTTGCACGTCGGCCACCGCGTTGTTAGCGCCCTCGCCCCGGACTGCGGAGATACTATTAGTGAAACAATAGTCCGGAGTAATGACGGGCAGGCAGGAGACTACTCACACATGGTCATCGTGTGGGCCGCATCGCCCATCAACACGATCCGGCCATGCCCCTGCTCGCGTCTCGCCGTCGGGAACCAATCCTGCATCGTGATGGCTGTCACTTCGGCATTATCCGAGATGTTATGGACTAGGCCCCGGAACGGTTCTGCCCAATCCTGCGTGAGCTGCTTCATCAGGGCGATGCGCTCGGCATTGCCGTCAGGGATGTCGATGCCCTTGCTTTCCGGCCACGAGACCACGATCTGCACCACATAGTCGTCCGAGCTGTCTTCGAAGTTGAACGGCGTATCCAGGACTGCGTCACGTCAGCACTAAAAGCAAATAGTCGGGACGCCGTCTGCTGTCAGACAAGATCGTCGACGGCGATCGTCAAAAGACATGTAGGGCTATTAGCGATTAGCGTAGGGAATGACGTACAGCTGAAGTACAAGTACACATTCGACTCCGCGTGAGTTCCCTGGAAAAAGTAGGGGTCGAGTGCCCGCACTGCCGTCACCTGTTCCTCCGAGTAGCGGACGGTTGCCCCCAGGAACCGGACGGGGATCGGCTTGTTCTGGTAGGTCGTGGGATAGAGATGCTTGCGGACACGCGAGTTGGCGCCGTCGCAGGCCACAAGCAGTCGTCCCTTGCATGAACTGCCATCCTCAAAGAACGCCGTCACACTCTCCTCGTTGTCTTCGATGTTCACCAGTTTTTTCGACCACTGCGGGGAGCATCCGTCAGTCAGGACGTGGCAATAGTAGTAGGATAAAACAGTTTGGCTGCGGCAGACCCACCTCGATGTTGATGTCGGTCGCCAGAAGAGCTCTGAGTTTGGTCCGCAGGACTCGAATCCTACCCTCCTGCGACGGCGGACTCTCATACTTTGGATCGCCCGTCTTGAGATTGAAGAACCGGTATCTGCCCGGGTCACCCCTGCGCGCGGCTTCCTTGTTGACGCTGGTCTCTCGCAGCCGGGACGCGATGTCCGCTGGCAGCAGCTCCTCGAGGGCGGGGAGGGCCCAGTGGACGGTGAGACCCCATCCGCCGGTGCGAGACGTCATGGATGCGTCCCGTTCGAAGATGCGGAACGGCACGTTGGCCTTGCGCAGGTACTGGGCCAGCGTGAGGCCGCTGATCCCAGCCCCGACGATGAGGATGGGGAGCGGATCGGAAGGCATGGTGGCAGTGTCAGAGTGAGCCCTCGATCGGTGTCGACAGAGGGAATTAGGAAAAGCGCATCCTGCGATCTCGACAGACACGATCGAGCCCTGCGACAAAGAGCATATAAATGCTGGCCTGGCCCATTTGCGGCTCGGCAGGTGCCGCCTGCCCAATGAGGGGCCTGGCGTGCGCGTTGTACTGCAGCTGCCCGGATGCAACCGTGGAGGCGCGATTCACACACTTGCGACACTGTGAGTCTGTCCTCCGTTGCAAAGCCGTCCTTAGTTTGTCGAGAGACAAAGTCAAAAAGCAGTGGAGACGCCCGCTCGGGTGTGCCGCAGTTGTGGAGCGTGCCAAACTCTTGTATTCGTCACTGTTTGTCTTCGCGAAACTATCAAACTTTGTCGCGCAAACGTTAACAAAAGGCAAAAAAACAAACTTTCTGCCCCCTCGTCTGTACAGTCTGATTCGCAGATTAGATCAGCGGTCGAGCGTTCATTCTCCCCACTTGGTGAAGCTGCCATGCAAATGCATAGATTCTGACGTTCATCCGGGAGGATTCCGTCAATCTGCATCAATCAGTCTAGATCATATCATGCCATAAATCACCATCTTTCGTGGGGCTGTCTCTAATCTGATCGCAAGTCCCTCGTCAGGGTCTCGTGGTATTGTTCCCCTCATTCCAAACTGGAACTAGAGTGATGTGGAAGAAAAAGAATAGAAAAGGGAACACACGCCAAGCTGATTGTCGAAGATCACCCTCTTGGCACGTGCCCTATGGACTAGAATTTGCTGGAATAATGCTAAAAACCCCCGTGGGGGCCAGTTTGTTCTCTTTTTTTCTGGATATCTTAGGTCTGTGCTCCATACTTCGAACGAGAGAGAAGTTTCGAGGAGACGTAAAAATTTGCTGGCGTCGAACCAAGCCAAGTAAAAGCTGATCAAGCACCTAAGAATTGTGTAGAATGGATACGGTCCTACGTCCGGAAACATTGTCTGAGAGAGCAATTCTTAACTGTGGTTATATGAGCTTCTCTATGCTCGACTTGATATTACGTCTCGTCTGGGTGTTCTGTTTCCGGCTATTCTCCAGTATTCATCTTATATTTCCCTGGTCCAATGGTGCAAGATCATGCTGACCACGGATTCGAACAAAAGTCAACAAATCTGGCTTCCTGGATTTAGAGAATTTTCCGTAGTGCTACCAGTATGTAATGCTCTAGGAGAAGAGTGACAATACAATGGCAGATAAGCGAAATACAAGCAAGCTGCGGATAGCACCTAATAAAGAGTAATTATGTCGGACTAATTGATTAATGTATAGTACTCTATGTACGTCTCTAGCTTTCTTTTTAGATGGGTTAGATTCTTCGCGCGCCGGTTAAATGGAAATCAAGTTCATCACAGCCGGAAATATATAATCACATGATGCAGGACTATCTATCGAGTCATAGCGTAAATCAACCTCAAAATGGACAAAAAAAAAGCGCAAAAAGGACTCATTACTAAAGAATAACAGTAATTCTTGCTTATTCAAAGGTATGGGGCACGTAGAGTCTGCGGGGCTAGAGAGATGCAACACGGGTCATGACCCGGCAGAGCAGCTGCTGGGAATGGGGATCCGTCCTCCTATCGACAAGACCAAGATCATGCCATTTTGCAGCAGGAAAGCATCGCAAAGTGCACTCGTCTCTGTGGTTGATCGCACCTGCCGAGAACCTCTGGCCCGCGGATCAGTCTGTCAGCCAGCACCTTCCCGAAACCGTCGACAATGACTCGTCCACGAATGTGCGTTGATATTACCGCTATCTAACCACATTGTGTCCGATTCTGCCCTTTACATTGCTCTCAAAGATGTTGATTGACTGATAGTCATCGCAAAGCAGCAGCAATCCTATTGCGCATGTTGGCCAGCTTGCAATAATCCCTACATTTCATCGCCTACGACAATGAAAGATTTCAAATCAATTCCAACCATATGCACAGACATGAAATCAACATGACTCCTTCCAGGGACACGGAAATGGAGATGGTAGAGAATGGTAACCCATCATCATAACAAGCACTTTTTAACTATATACTGACACTGACAAAATTTCTCTGTATCGGCACTTAGTATACGTTTATTTTTTACGAACGACAATGACGACTTCACCACGTAGTTTGTTCAATGTCCCGTACTCAGCTGAACCACGGAACAAACCGATGTCTTTACAAAAGCCGTGTAGCAAAGTTCACTTCTTTTCAGCTTCCGCAATGTCTACCGCTCTGGCGCTATTGTCTCCTCGATCAGTATCAAGGTGAATCGCGACATAATGCGTGAAATATTTTGATGGATCGGCAACGAAGCATGCAACACAAGTCGCACTCACGCCGAATAGAATAGTACTCAACCGTGCGGAAGGCGTAGGACCATGCATTCCTGCTCGCACTCGACGCAGCAGCGAGGATGACTGGCGTTGCTCCAGGTCCCTGGAAAGCTGTCGTGCCTTCGGACATGGCGGCAATGAGCGCAGGGAGCTCTTTGGCAGGAAACCCCAACGGTAACACGGCTTGGGAGATGTAGCTTGGCAGAGTTTGTCTTGATTTCGCGTCGATGATAATGTTCAACATCGTGCTGCCAATCGCACCGCCTAGCAAACGGATCGATGCGATCCTTGTGCAGCACCAAGGTCTCGATGAGGGATGTGCAAAGAGACTGTGGTATAGCAGGCAACAGTGATCCACGAGAATGGCACGGTGGCCAGAAATTGGAAGGCTAGACACATAGCGATCGAGTCTTGTGTCACCAACACCAGAAGTCCAACGAAGACTGTCTGCATACCGACCGCGAGGATGAGTTGGATATGGACGTGCTTGATTTTATGAAACAAGCCACCCATAACGACACCGCCACTGGCAGTATTAGTCGCTCTGTCGCTCCATATTCAAATGCCTGATAGCTGGCTTAGTGACAATACTTACAAGACACCCCCGGCCCCAGAAGCAATCTGAAGCAGGCCAAGTCTGATGAGGTCTGTGGAGAAAAGATGCAAAAGCTGCTGTGGAATCACGCTTGTTACAGCATAGTACAAAAGCCAGTGACAAAGGTGCAACTGCAGGAACATATCAGCCAGAATCCTTCAATGGTAACAATTTTGGCTGACATACATAACCAGAACAGTGAATTCGCGGAATTTCTTAAACATATAGAATAGGAACAACGGCCTTTTGGCGAAGCCGAAAAAGTCACAGATGAAGCAACCGATGAACATTACCATTCCCAGAACGATGAGGACAATGACCTCGATAGTTCTCCAATTGCGAGTGTTTCCTCCCTGGTACAAGCCTGCTAAGAGCATCGCGAGACCGCTGGTATACAGCAAGAACCCTGCAAGCGTCAGTGTCCATACAACTCTATACAAGGCCTGGTTCATACCGATATAGTCCATCTCTTTTAAGAGCGTTGATCGTGGGATGTGTGCCACGTCTCTTGGGCATGGTGGAGGCCAGTAGAAGACGGCCGTCCCGATGAGAGAGATCGTTCCAGTGATGGCGCCGATGATGAAGATCTGTATCACCCCGTTATTACAAAGAGAAATAAGAACGTCTGACATCGAGGGACAGACCATCTCCAGTCGCGTTTTGAGCTAAGGCGTGCCCTGCCAGTGATCTGAAGCAAGACATTGGGATGAGATTTGCTTCGGTCGAGGCCAGTCCAATGGCACATTATCGGTTCGGGAGAATTTCAGAGAGGCCAGGATACAGAAATAAGGCCATGCCAGTGCCAAAACCACCAATGACCATGGCAGCAATCATCTGGTTGAGTGTCTGGCCTATGGCACCAATAATCTGGGATATGCATGAGCTAGTTTCGAGAATAGATCTAGATCATAGGCTTACAAATGAAACAATCAGAAGGCATTGACCAAAGAGAAGCACATAGTGTCGGCCAAAAACTGTTACGCGTTGGGTCCAACCGTAGTCGTCGATACTTAACGATGGTGGTTAGGGAAGGATCAAGGAGTCTTCTTGACTCTGTGTCGTTCACGAGCACGCGACGGTCTAACCGACCCGGGTCTCCTCTTCCTCGAGACAACGGCCTACCTGGCGAAGGGCTCTTCCTCGAACGACTTCTCGCGATATAATGGGGTCTCGTGTGAAGGGCCAAAGCCTTGCTGTCTAGAAACTAGGAGCTCATAAAAAGGATTCGCTGGGGAAGGAAGAAAGGAAGAGAAAGGCACGCGAGCTGTATCAACAGGAGTCATGTGATAAACAACAAATAGACCAATCAGAAGACGAGAGCGAAGCTGAGTCAGCAATATGGGCTTAGCCCGCAACAATACCCCCCTCCTTACTATGGATTCCCTCAGTGTGATGATTGTAAGTTAGACTGTCAATTTGACTGTTGGCGTTGAGTCTT